TCTTCATAATACCCTGTAAGAAAGATATCATCAGCCCCATTTTATGGATGAAGAAAGCAAGGTTTCAAGAGAAAAAGTGATTTGTCCAATTCACCTGTAAAGGGCAGAGCTGGGGATCTGAGCCCAGCAGACCCTGGAAACTGCCTTTTAAACTTTATCATGTCGGATTTTATTCTAATAAACATTTTGTTATCCTTTGGTGCTCTTTCCAGATACCCAGTGCCTCTCTGATTTCTGTTTTCACTCCAAGTCATCAAGTCCATTCCTGAAATATGACTGTAGTCCCGGAAATACAGACATGGAAGAGACATTGAGAACCTGTACTTAACCTCCTTGGAATAGGTGAGTGGTCCTCAGAGAGTCTTCCATGCTCCCGGGCGGGAGTACTGCTAGCTTCCCCCTGATGATGTCACACCTGACTTTGCCTCCATCCTTTGATGGAGGACAGTCTCGTTGGCTTTTCCTCAGTCCCTGAATCTCACAAGGTTTTACTGCAGCAGCCTCAATCCATACTGTACCATTCTTTTCACACCCGACCCCTAGTTCGTTTCGTGTAATTATTAATAGGAATGATTACTGATGCCTACACATTCAGATATAAAATTCTCTTGACAACAAAAAGGGAACAAATATACACATTCCCACATCCTGGAATTTGGAACACAGGGAAAAGTGATTTAGAATTGACTACTCTCTATATATAGTAACTTAAAAAGCCATGTCACTGTGTGCTTTCACCAGCATGTTTCATATCTAAACTAAAAACCTGGTTTGGTCAAGACTAAAAATTCCCAGATTTTGATACTTCTGCTAAAAAAATTCCCTACTTAATTATTTCAGAAATTTCAAATTTAAATAGAGCCACTTCTCTGTCTCTGTGTCTCTCTATATATACACACACATATAAAATGTTATATATTACATTACATATTTATTATATCTATGTTATATGTAAGTCTCTCTCTATATAATTTGTAAGAGTATAACAAAACAAAACCTTATATAGCTGGTGCTACTTCAAATTAAAGTGTACCGTATGGGCTTTAGAGAAGACATCGGAATGAAGTGCTTAGCTGAAGCCTTTTTAATACTAGGATGGGGGAATTACAGTCTCATTTTTTTTAAATAAAAAAAGAAGAATAGATTTTCATCTGTCTGGGATAATTTAATATAACCTACCTGGGGGCAGAGGAGAATGGAGCAAATGATTCTTCCAGTCATTTCTTGCTCTATAATTATGTTTTTAGAAGGAGAGAATAAAGAATCCTGCTGCTCCACACATTATTATACATTTTGAAGATGACTCGGAGTTTAATATTTGTCATTCAGCCACTTTCCTAATTTTATGTCTAATTAGCTAAGAAATTGAAGTTTCAAAAACATTCTTGGTGTGCTCAATTCCCGTATGTATTTCAATTCAACAAACGTTCATTATATTTTTCCTAGGTGTTAGGGGCTGAGGGGAGGAGACCGAATGAGGAAGGCACAAGCCTGTCTTTGCAGCGCTGGGCGTCCGTGGAGGAAGGACACGTGCACCACCAAGCAGCATGAGCAGCTGAGCTGGCAGTCCCAATGTCGTGTAGCGGGAACACACAGAGGTAGGCTTGTCAAACCCCGCTGGAGGGTGAGAGGAGGGTCGGGAGACGCTTTACAAGGAGCTGATGTGAGCATGGGTCAACGATGAGCAGAATCGACTCAGGGCACAGGAAGGAAGGACGTAAAGGAAGGTTCTTCAAGCCGCCTTGCCTCTGGCCTGTAGTAATCTATCTTCGTCCGCTGTGTCTACTGCGGGTGTCTGAGGCATCAGATATGAAAGGCCTGAAGCTCTGCCAGGATTCTTCATTCTAGGACTGCACATCATTGCTCCCCACACGCCGCAGCTCTGCGCTTCTGGCCAGCACTGGCGTTTTTGGGCGAGGGTGGCCCTCCAGCCTATTGCCACCTCACCCCCACGCGCGGAATGCCTCTTCCCAGGAACCCGGCGCTGCAGTGCTTCCTGAGGACAATGTCCTCTTCCTTCCGAGACTGCCCTGTCTGCCTCATCTCGAAAAACAATAGCACTGTTTCTGTCAGTACTGCTCCGCCCAGACAGAGGAATCTCTCCTCTCACATTTGTATTGTTTTGCAGGATATTGTTAAAATTACATTTTCCTAAAGAGCAAACGGTAAAACCAAAGGGTATTTATTTTTCCCTTTCACGAGTTTCATGGGGATTACGTGGCTGCAAAGGGTGAACGCTTTGTGGGGTTTGTTGCAGACAGTCGCGTGACTACAGCCCTGTGCGCGAAGTCTCCATGTGAAGGAAACGAACTTGGACTTCAGTACAGTTCGCTTCCCTCTGGCTTCCTAGCCACCGCTAAACTCAGACCACCCCTCCTGCCTTGAGCCAGCTGGCAACTAATCCCTCTAAACAGCGAATCCTCATCCTGAACATGCTTCCTACTCCACAGAAACACAATCTGCTGGTGGAATCTCAGGCACGTAACTGGCCTAAGCAAAAACACTGTAGGGAAGGACCTGCCGGCCACACCTCAAAGAGGACAAAGGGCCACTGGGACTGCTCTCAAAGGAGCCTTAGCAAAACTTTTATTAAGGCGGTGGAAGCTGTCTTTTCTGCACCCACAAATCCTTGCTGAAAATGTTTGGGCTTCCTAAACTTCTAGGTAGTTTGGTGGCTAATGGTTCGTGGCTTCTTTGACCCTCTGAATTAACCCTGTCCACCACCTTTCTTGGGCCTTCTGATATAGAGGGACCTCAGATGCCGCTTCTTATTCACGGAGGAAAGAGTGGCTTGTCACCTGCAGACCTCCCCACCTTTCCACTTCTCCACTTCCTCGTGCACAGTGAAGCATTTCTCTTGCTCCCTTGCTCCTACATGCCCAAAGCAAGCCCGTTTCCCCGAGTTTACGATTCCACCCCCTTTACCTCTCAGGAATCTTGTTCCATTGGTTTCTTTCTCTTTCTTTCCTATATCTTCAAACTCTGTCTCTGTTGCCCATGTGGTTCCTTCCCATTGCATAAACCTGTGCAAATCCTTCTCACTCGAGCACCCGTGGTCCCTTCTTTAGTATTTAAAATATCTTTTTTGACTATCTCCCTCTTTGTCTCAAATGATTGCAGGTTAGTGTTCTTCCTCTCCAGTCTTGTATAATTCTTATTTCTGATGTCACCAGTGACCCTCCGATGGTCAGCCTCAATGGGTACTTAGTCTTCTTACTTGATTCCCCTGTGACATTTAACACTGCCAATCTCTCCATCCCTCTTCAGCTTTCTTTCCTCACTTGGTTTCTTCCTTGAGCACCTGTGCGTCTCCTTGGTCTTCTTTCCAGGTGTCTCTTCCTCCATAACATCCTTAAATATTGATGTTTCTTTAAACATTGAAATCGTGAATCTCTCCTCAGCCTATTTGCCTTCTTTAGTTCTTCCTGGGCTGTCTTAAATACTCCGACAATTTACAACCTCCTTTATATTGTTGAGTCTAAGCCCTGGACATCTCCCCCTGGACTTCCCTCCTGTGTCCCAGACGCGTGTGTTCAGGCATCTAATGGGCATCAATGCCAAGTCAATCCAAAAGCTTTTTTACAATTACTCCATCTCAAGGTATGTCTTTCCCTTTTAACTCTCTTCGCCTTACTCTCTCTCTCTCTCCTGTGTTCCCCGAAAGGGGCTTGGTACCACTGCGCACCTACTATCCTCATCCTCCTGGACTCAATCCCCTCCTTCATCTCACACAGCCAATTGGATGACAAGCCCGTCGGTTGTACATGCCGAGACTTCTCTTGGCCACGCCCTCTTCTACTTCCTCACCCCACTGCCTCCCTGCAGGCACCGGTATTTCTCACATGGACTATTTTAGCTGCCTCCTGTCTCTAGTCTTGTCCTTCACCATCCACACGCCACAAACGCCATCTACCCACCACAGTTTCCATCATGTCAGAATTCTTTAACATTCCTCATTGCTTAGAGCAGGGAGAACAACAGCCCACGAGCCAAACCTGGCCCACCATCCAGGTTCATAAAAAATGTTTTATTGGAATGCAGCTACTCTCATTCATTTACAGATTGTTTATGGCTACATTCATGCATGGGCAGAGTTGAGTACTTGTGAAAGAGTATATAGGGCCTGCAGAACCTAAAATATTTAGTACCTGTCTCTTTACAGAAAAAAAATTGTTGGCCCCTGGCTTAGAATATTAATCAAATATTCTTAGCATAAAGCAAAAGTCCTTCCAACACATGTTCTCTATCTGCCTGTCCAGATTCATGTTCTTTAACTCCCTCTTTAATAGAAAGCAATATTGAAATTGTGTGTGTGTGTGTGTGTGTGTGTGTGTGTGTGTGTTTGTACACGAGGTAGTGTAGCATGGTGGTTAAAAGTAGGATACCTGAGTACAGCCAGGATACCTGGGGTTGAAATCTGGCTCGGCCACCAATTAGCTGTGTGTTCCTGGGCAAGTTACTTAACCTTGTTGTGGTTTAGTTTCTCCATGAAATGGAACTGATGCGCTCCGTTTTACATACATTCCATTTGGGGACAACTGTGGCTGGTGGAGAAGTACTGGGTGAGGTCTCAAAACTTTTCCTAATTTAGACAATTTTCAAAACATATTTATTGCTTTGGAATCTCATTTTATTTGTCTATAGTGTAGAGGCCATATAATACAGAGCTCATCAAATTGTCTGTTGGGTGATAGTTCATGGCAGTAGGGTGTAGCAAAAAGTCTCTTTGAGAGCAATGTTAAACATCAAAATATTTCACTGGAATAAATATACCTTTCTTATCTTAACTGACTTATGTGATATTTGGTAGGAACAAAAATTCACATGTCAATCCAAATAGCAAAGAGATGAGAAAAGAAAAAATGGAGGTATCTGGTTATTAAATTTATTTTTTAAAAAGAAAGAATACATTTTTTAAAAAACAGTTATTTAAAATATAAATAATACATGCTCTATAAACTGAGAAGGACCAAATATAGGTAAGGTGTGATGTATAGACTTTTAGTGCTGACCCTTGTTTGATTTTCTGTATCTAAGTTCGTGGGAGAATGAAGGTTTTTTGCCTTTTTACAGTTAGGGTCCTGTGAAATTTGGCCACGGAGCGTGCCATTCATGACTTCCTGGACGAAGCACTGAATCACTGGTGAGAGAACAGCACTTCCTTCTGCAGGATGGAACAAGGAGGGCGATCTTCCAGATGGTGCATCTACATGGTGGTGGCGCCTCTGTTGGTCTCCATTACTGAGTCGCTCTATGGGGGAAGCTGCTCTGGACGATTGCCTGGGCCCACAGTGGATTTTGTGATTGTGAGAGAACAACTTTTGCTGTATCAAATTACTGCGATTGGAGGTTTGTTTGTTATTGAGAATAACCTAGCCTGTCTTGGATTATTATTGTATAGAGTGATAGTGTCTTTTCCTCCTCTCCTGTACTTAGGGCAGTAGAATTAAGTGGACGGCCTGGATGGGTAGCACGGTCTTCCCCAAACCGATCCTTACATGGGGCAGCGTACAGAGCTGGTCTATTGTTCTGTGCTGATGAGGAAGGGGTGCCCCTTTGTGTTCAACTCCTGCTTGTTTTCCCTCCTTTAATTAGCAGCTTTCGTTACTGCACTTGTGAGGCGAAGGTTTAGGAGCAAAGGCCACCGCTTTAATGATAAATGCCTCCTCAAACATTTCCAACCTAAAAATAAAATAACATAAAACCTCGCAAATGAATGTGGTAGCAAGCCGCAAATGTCAATTCTGCCATTGTATGGATTTAAAATCAAATGTAAACAATGTTTGAGAAAACACTGACCTGGATAGAGCCTTTTTTCACACTAGTAATTAGTTCTCCCGCAGCAGGCTCCAGCCGAAAGCTGGGTCAGTGCCCCTCTCCCCTAGGAAGCCAAGAAAATTTCCACTGCAGCCCGACCACGAGACAGGGCCCCTGGGGGTGTTGTCTGCTGCGGTTGCCACTTTGCCCACTTCTGGTAAAGGGCAGGTTTCTTGGCAAATGCTCCCTACCTTAACTTGCAGGGAGCAGGTAGAAATTTTCTCTTTAGTGTGGGCAGTCATGAGAGTGGAGAGGCTAGAGGAGGGTTGAAAGAGGTACCCCAGTGCATCAGCGAAAATTCTAGAAATCAGACGACAGATTTAACCCATGTTGAGAATATTCAAACTGAAAAGATTATTTTAGTTAAGAAAAAAAAAAAGCTTAATGACCACACTGTTTTATTTTTGCATATCCTGGGGCACAGTGCTGACTATGAAATCAAATTACCTGAGGGTTTCTTATTTTGATTTTCATTCTGTAGCTTTTTTAATAGCCATAACTTTTGACAATGCGTTTTCCTGATTCTGTAAACAACGGGCAAGTATGGATGTTTTTAAAAGCTTGAGACTAAATTCCTGTTTTAAATTTCCCAAAGCAAGCACTGTCACTTTAGGCCCAAGAAACAGAAGTTAAATTGTGTGTAAAAAGCACAAACCGATTAATAAACGAGAGCTTGAGTCTCAAGAGCTGTTACTCAGAACTGTCTACAAATTCTGACCTGTCTTTATGAATGTCCATGCCATTTCGAAGTTTATTTGAGAGCCTTTGGTCAGGAAAATATTCTCAGACCATCAAGATTATCTTATCTGTTTCTAACCCAAAGAACTAAAAGAAAATAAGACTCTACTTAATGAGGTGGAAAAAATCATTTAAAAATCAGATAAATACCAAAGACTTCAGTATTAACAATTTATTATTATGGTATTCACTAACCTTAGGCAGGCTGGATAGAAATGTTCTCTCAAGTGCTAAGCAGAAAGAATTTAATGATTTCAGTTTAATTCCCTGTTGCACAGCAGTCCATTCTGGAGAGAAAAAATAAAAACCATCAACGAACATTATACTAAAGGTCTGATTCTCACAAGCTACTCTAATCTTTAGCTGGAAAAACAAAAGTATCCAAAATGTGTTCTGACTGTACTGAAACTTCATCATGATTGAACAAGGCTAATATTATCAATAGCTCCTTTGTTATGGCAGTAAATTAAAATAGCATTCTTCATCTTAACAACAACAACAAAATGAATAAGAAGGATAAGAAATTTAAATGACTTTGCTGAATCAATTGTTTGGCTCATTTTTTTTTTTTTTTTCACATCTTCCTTTGCAGAGGCCTTAAATCTGATACCCTTTGGATAGGCAAGACAGAGAAGAAAATGGCTCTTACCTGTCTGCTGCCTTTTTCTCTCTTCTAATCTTTCTGGACTTTGCTCATCATTTTTTTCAGGTCATTACATCCCTTCTGGATTAATTTCTTTCATATCCCATTGGCTGGGCTGCCAAAACTCATTTCTTCATTACTGTTCTTTGCTTAAGGGTGGCAGTTGCTGAATCCTCCACCACATCCCCTTTGATCTGACTTGGATTTTATTTTTTTATAACATCTATTTCTTTTTTCGTTTGTTTATCCCAGTGGCAGAAAAAGAGGATTAATTATTTCTACGAAGCCAGCACTTCTCTTTGTGTCAAAGTGCTAGCAAACAGAACACTTTTACCTTAAGAAAGTGCCTTTCTTTATAAGTTGTGATTTGGGGGTCTATAAATTGGATGCTGGATTCACTGAAAGGAGGATCTCTATTTGCAGATTTTCTTGGAATAGCCAGTCTACCAGTGACAAGCATCTGCAGGTCTAAGTGTCCAATTCCTAAATAAGCCTCCTTGTCTCTAGCTCTGTGTGCCTCCTAACTCATCCCAGAACTATCTTTCTGAAACAAAAATGAGATCATGTCACTCCTCAGTCCCAAATATTTCATGGGTTCTCCTCTGCCATCACGAGAAACCCAACCTATTTAGAGTAGCATAAAATATGACTTGTTTTTTCCCTGTGTACTTCATCTCTTTCCTTTCTCCCCAGATCCAGCATCTTGCATTTTAGTTCTACCAAAATGTTCCTAGACTGGGAGCATCCTCTTCCATCTCTGAGCTTTCGAACCTGCTATTCTCTCTTGGGAATGCCCTTCCATCATCTGTCTACTTGGTAATTTCTTCACAGTCTTTAAGACTCAGCCAAGGGTCATCCCCTCTGTGAATTTTTTCCCATTTGCTCAAGACCTACAGCTGAACTGTCTGTATAACCTGTATGTACAGCTTCAGTATTGAGCTCATCATATTTAAGGTCAATGTCTACTTGCCTGGATCCTCCACTAGGTTTTGAGCTGCTTAAGGGCAAGATCTTTGTCTTACTCATCTTTGGGATCTCTATGTTCTGTTAAAGAGCCTGGCATATTATAGTGGTTCAAAAATATTATGTGCTCAAATACTAAGCAAAAAGAACAAAATTGGAGGCAAATGACTTCAAATTATAGCACAAGGCTATAGTAACCAAAACAGAATGGTGTTGCCATAAGAGTAGACATATAGATCAATAGAACAGAACAGAGAACTCAGAAGGAAAACCATATACATACAACCAACTGATCTTTGATGAAACAGACAAAAGCTCACACTAGGGAAAGGACACATTATTCAATACATGGTGCTGGGAAAATTGGATAGCGATATGCAGAAGAATGACACTGGATCCCTATCTCTCACTGCATACAAAAACTAACTCAAGATGGATTAAAGACTTAAATGTAAGACCAGAAAACATAAAAATTCTAGAAGAAAACCTAGAAAAAACTTTTCTGGACATTGACTGAGGCAAATAATTTATGACTAAGAGTCCAAAAGCAAAAACAACAAAAATAAAAATAGACAAATATGTCTCCATTAAACTACAAAACTTCTGCACAGCAAAAGAAATAATCGAAAGAATAAATAGATGACCTACAGAATGGGAGAAAATATTGGTAAACTATGCATCCAAAAATGGACTAACATTCTGAATCTTCAAGAAAATCAAACAATTCAGTAAGAAAAAAACAAACAATCCCATTAAAAAGTGGACAAATGACATGGATAGACATTTTTTTCAAAGAAAACATACAAATGGCCAACAGGTATATGGGCATTTTTAAATGTCCAACATAACTAATCATTAGGGAAATGCAAATTAAATGAGATACAGTCTTATTCCAATTAGAATGACCATTAATAAAAAGTCAAAAAACAATAGATTTTTGTTGGTACAGGTGCAGTGAAAAGGGACATTTATACGCTGTTGGTGAAAATGTAAATAAGTACAACCTCTATGGAAAACTGTATGTAGATTCCTTAAAGAACCTGAAGTAGATCTACCATTTGATCCAGTATTTCCACTACTGGGTATCTACCCAAAGGAAAATATGTAATTAAATAAAAAAGACACCTGCACTGGTATGTTTATTGCAGCAAAGATATGGAATCAACCTAGGTGTTCATCACCTGATGAGTGGATATCTTAAAATGGATATCTTAAAATCATGGAGTACAACTCAGTCATAAGAAAGAATGAAATAATGTCTTTGCAGCAACTTGGATAAAACTGGAAGCCATTATTTTAAGTGAAGTAACTTAAGAACGGAAAAGTAAATGCCACATGTTCTCACTTATAAGAGCTAGGATATGGCTACACAAGGTCACTGGAGACTTAAAAGGGGCAAGGGTAAGAGGGGTGAGGGAAGAAAATTACCTATTTTAGGTACAATGCATATTATTTGGATGATAGGTCCACTAAAAGCCTAGACTTTACCACCATACAATATAAACATGTAATGGAATGTAGCCTTTGACTATATTGAAATAAAAAAGAAAAGAAACCTCAAAAAATATTATGTGCTCAGATGAATGAATATATGGGTCATAAAGTAACTCAATATTTCTTGTTAGCTTCATGGCATAAATTATGAATCACTCTAGTTTTACTTTTCTTTTTAGTAAGCAATAAGAGTATTCCCGAATGCAGGTACTTAATAGTTGTTACTGCTGTTATTCTAATTAATTAAGACTCAAGCTTTGAATGATATGAATTGATTGTGCACACGGTCTGAATTTTTCAGGAATTTGTGCCTTCATTTTTATAATTTTATAGAGCTTCTCATCTTTTTCCTTGATAAACCATGCTTCTGTTGCTTTTCTGGGGAGTAAATAGGATTTGGATTCTATTCACTTTAAGAATGTCCTCAATCCTAAAGAAAAATTATGTGAATGATCTGAATTTATCAAGGTAGCATTGAATTAAGAATTAGGGTCATACTATATATGCACAATTATTTTTCTATATTTCTATATATTTTATTATATTGCTTTATTGTGAGCATTGTACCATGTTATTAAACAGTCTAGGTAAATATAATTATTGACTACATAATACATCATTGTGTGGTGTACACATCCTTCATTCTTTAAGTCATCACTTATTAAGTATTATTTCATTAAGCTTGTGTGTGTATTTTTGTTGATATATTTATATGTTTGTACTGTGTCATGATGTAAAATGTATTTCTTATTATGGATCAGAGTTGAAAAGGTTTTAATGTCATTGACTTACTTATAGGGTAGTTGTGAGACTGCCTGTTTCCCTGTAATATTTTTCTTACAGAGGCAAGTTAGGTTAAGATAAACCTCAAGAAAGGCAACTTGGAAAGGTTTAAGAAGTCTATGGCATATGTGTGGAAGTTAGGATAGTGCTGCCATAGCATAATTAAATATATGACAGATAAGCATAATATACTTGATTTCCTTGTATGACTTATTATTACTCATTATTGTTAACGCTGTCCTGGCCTGCATGAGGCCTCCTGACTTGTTCTACCTCCCGAGTTCCTGGCCCCCTGCCATTTACTTCACCAGATTGGACATCCCCCAAATCAGGGGCCCAAGGCAATGGATTCAGTTCAACATGGTCAAATGTTGTTTCTATCTCTGGCCAGCCAGCCCAGGCCCTCTGCTGTCATGCCTACTGTGTTCTATTATCAAAACTGAGCCACGTCTCTGAAGTAAGCAACTTCAGTTAAAGAAACCAGAATGGTGGTTGCTTTGTATTTTTGCACAGCAATGTGATTATTGATATAGAAGGTGGACGTCTTCAGAATTCTTGAATCTTATTTTCCTACAATAATACCTAGCACCTTCACTGGCACATGGCCTGGTAGCTCCTCTTGCTTACATTTTCCACACTTCGTCTTCGTGATTCACCATTTCTAATATTAGTAATTTACGGTAATGAGCCATGAGCTGACACCCACGCTGGGTGAGACAGAGGCAACTTTCAATCTGCAGCGAGTGGCAAAGAGTACTTGAGGGAGACATTCTCTGCATTCTGAAAGCATCTTAATGATCCTAAGTGGTTTGGATGTTTAGAGGAAGTTCAAAGGCACTGAATCAATTGCACATCATTAAAACAATACAACACGTAAGACTTGGGAGCTGAAAGAATGTGTCTGTTTTCCTGTTCCATGGACTGAGAGGACTGAGGAGGTAGCAGTGTAGGAGAATGTTGTAGAAATGCTTCTGTTTCCTGAGAGCACTGGGTAAATGCATGTTTCTTTATGTGTTCACGGCTGGGTTCCACTTGTACCTGGGTAAGGGTGAGTGAATCCAGGCATCTTTGGGAATCATGGGACATCCCCATCTATGTTGTTTCAAATGTCTTGCACTCATCAAAGCACACATATTTAGCTGAACACTACTCCATATTCAATTGTTACATGGATGTATGTATATTGGAAGATGGACTCTACATGTTTCCAAAGTCTTTTACATTTTTCACAGTAAGAACAGCCAGACACCTTTGGAACTGTGCTTTTTTATAACAAATTATTTCTTTTGTGATGATGGGAATGAAAAGTCTATGATCATTAGAACATATACATTATCACCATGTAGATTGAAGCACTCAGTTCAGAAGGTCAATTTCCTAATATGAGAACACAAGCTATCAATCTGATAAATTGCATTCTCCTTTTTCTCAGAGTAGGCCCTTTGATATGGCTTTATTATTGAATAGAGTAGAGAATTCTAGTGCCAGGAAACTCCTGCCAGCTATTTTTAGGTCCACATCTATGATTTTCTGTAGTACCCATGCAAGGCATCTGATCGTCAAGGTAGTGGACAAAAGGTGGCCATTGGCTGCAGAGAGCCCTAGGTTTGAATCCTGGCCTTGTCACTGACTGGTCGAGTTGCCCTGGGAAAGTCACTTTGCCTCTTTAAAACTTACTCTTTTCACTTGTGGAATGAGTATAATAGTGTTCCTGGCTGTGTTCTTGTGAAAATTAAATGTCTACTATTAATCTGTGCAAAGTGCCTAATATGGGGCCGGCTGGGAGCAGAGGGGTTCAGTGAATAGCAGTGATTAGCTCAGAGATGCGACCCAGATCACTCTTCTCAGTGGAGAGATCAGTGAGATTGGTCTCTTCTTAGTTGTGGAGGCCAATGCAGAAGGTGCTCTGCTTTCTCCACCTTGTTAACTGCTGTCTGTTCCCTGACTGGCCAACATCGCCACTCCAGGACTATCGCAGCTGTGCTCTATAGATGTCAAACAGGCCCAAAGCCAGTTCAAA